GGCAGGGATAAGTAATATGATATATAAGAAAGGAAAAGATATGAAGTATTTATGAGAAAAGAGAAATAAAGACAGAGTTTAAAATTGTATATATAGATATATGTATAATATCATCATATTCATACAGTATTAAAAAGCCAGAAAAATCAACACCCCATGCTGGACCGAATTAAAAAAAAAAAAAAAAAAAAAAACAAGAGAATAACTAGGGATGGTAATATGATTGAGGTGTTGAAATATTCCCAGAATGTCAAATCAAATTCTCCCAAAAATCTGCTCATCTATAAAAATAGTGACTACACTAGAAATTTTTGTGAAAATTAAATTTTTCAGTAGTGGAGATTTTAGGAAGATGGTGGAATAGAAAACATAAGTAATCTGTCTCTCCACCTAGACAATAATTAGGCAGAAGAAAATCTGATGCAATTATTTTGCAGCTCTGGACTCTTTTGAAGGCTTGAAACTTCCAGAGAAAGGTCTAGACAGTAAATGATTAGTCTCGATTTCAGTTCTTAGCACAGGAGCAGCCCCATTCGCACTCTCAGCCCAGTGGCAGCAGCTGTGCAAGCATTCCTGGAGCCGCCTGTATATAGCTTGAAGGAGCCAAGTGAGCAGGAAACGTGTTCGTCTCCAAACATCAAAGATCTGTATTTAGATCATTGATTGCTGCTTCTGATCATGAAAGTTCACATAAAGAGTTGGGCAATCATGGATGTTGCCCTTCCCTTCATTGTGGCAAGCTCCATCCCCTCCAGCTGAAGTGACTTCCAGGGAAATTGAAGGGCTGGTTCCCTTTTTCTCCTTTTCTCCTTTTGGGAGCCAAATATGAAGGACTAGGAGATTTGAAATGAATTGCATATATAAAGAAAATTGGAAGGTGACTATGTATGCCCAGGGTTAAGATAAAGTAAGCCAACGCATAAACAAGTAAGCAAGCAAACAAACAAGTAATAACCTTCCAGTAAGGGGGAGAATTTGAGTTTCAGAGTCATCACATTGTTAGATTTAATTTTTTTTAAAGAGAGAGAGAGAAAATTTTTTAATATTTATTTTTTAGTTTTCGGTGGACACAACATCTTTATTTCACTTTTATGTGGTGCTGAGGATCGAACCCATCACCCTGCGCATACCAGTTGGGCACACTACCGCTTGAGCCACATCCCCAGCCCCAACATTGTTAGATTTAAATGCCCAGTTGTCAACAACAGCAACCAAAAACATCACAAAGCATACAAAGAAAAAGAAAAATGTGGCCCATTCAAAGGAAAAGACAAATCAATAATAATAATAATAATAAAGAACTGATGGTATATCTATTCAAAAAAAGCTTTAACTGTCTAAAATATGCTCAAAAATCTAAAAAAAAATAAGCCCCCAAAATTATGTATCAACAAAGTAGTAATATTAATATAGAGAGAAAACTTAAAAAGAAACAAAAATATATGTATAGAACTGAAAAGTACCACAGCAGGAAGAAAATTTTCACAAGCAAAATTCAAAGGCAGATTTGAACCATCAAAAGAAAGAATCAGCAAATTGAAAATAGGACAATGAAAATTATCAAGTCTGAGAAACAGAAAGAGGAAAAAGATCTAAGGAAAGTGAACAGAACCTAAGGGATCTGTGGGACACCATCAAGTGAACCCATCTCTGTGTTATGGAAGTTTCAGAAGGAGAAGAAAGGACCATAGAGATTATCTCAAGGAATAATAGCTGAAAACTTTCCTAATTTGATGGAAAACATGAATATAAACATTAAAGAATTCTAACTCCAAGTGAGATTAATTCAAAGAGAATCACACTAAGACTCATTATAATAAAACTTTCAAAAGATCAATACATAAAATCTTGGAAATAGTAGGAGAGAAGCAATTCATCACATATAATAGACCATCAATAAGACTGTCTAAAATAACTTTTCTCATCCATAACTTTAGAAGCTAAGAAGGCAGTTTTTTTCCCCTATAGTTCCCTAAGAACTATAGGGGAAAAAAACAACCAATCAAGAATTCTATATCTGGCAAAACTGTTCTTCAACGTGAGAGAGAAATTAAGACATTTGTAGATAAATAAAAGGTGAGAGAATCTGTTACCACTAGAACTTCCCTGCACTAAAGTCATATAGGTTGCAATGAAAGGACACTAGTATCTAGAAGCCATCTAAAAAAAATAAAGATCTCATTTTTAATAAATATAAATACCTGGGCAACTATACAAGTATTATTATAAATATGGTTTGTGACTTACTTTTTGTTTCATATTGAATTTAAGAGACTAATAGTTCTTTTAAAAAAATATTAGTCTGAAACATAGTAATCTTTTAATTTTGGTTTATAAGTTGATATTTTCTACATAATTTAAGAGGTTAATGTATTTGAAAGACTATTTGCTTATGTTTTAGGGTACACAATGTATAAAGATACAATTCTGTGACATCAAAAAGGGTGTGACAGAAGTGCTAAAGAAGCAGAGTTATTTTGTATGTTATTAAAGTCAAGCTGGTACAAATTCAAGTTAGAGTATTATAACTATAGTCTGTTAAATGGTAATCAAATATAACATTTCTATGAAATATATACCAAAGGAAAAGATAAATGAATTTAAATGTCACACCATAAAAAAAATCAACTGAATACAAAAGAAGAGAGTAATGCAGGAAATGAGGGGGAAAAATTATTCATAATAGAGAAAAAATAGCAAAATGAGAAAAGTATGTCCCTCCTTATAAGCAATTATTTAAATATAAATGGATTAAACTCTCCTATCAAAAGACAACGATTATCAGAATTCAATATGATAAAAATTTTATTATCAACAATAGATTCAATTTTTATCCAAAAACACAAATAGATTGAAAGTTAAAGTATATAAAAAGATATTCCATTTTAATAGTAACCAATAGAGAACAGGATGGGTGTACTGATATCAAAAAAAAAGTAGACTTTAAATCAAAAGTAGTTCCAAGAGACAAAGAAGAACATTATATGCTAATGAAAGGTTCAATTCAAAAAGAATACCAGTTATAAACATTTATATACCTAGTGACATTTATATACCTAATGTGAAGCAAAAACTGACAAAATTGAAGAAAGAAATAAACAGTTCTATAGTAGTTGGAGACTTCAATATCCACACTCAATTATGAATAGAACAACTAGAAGATAATTAAGGAAGTAGATAATAAACACAATCCCATTCCCAAGTATAAACCAAAGAGAACTGGAAATAAATGTCTTCACAAAGCTTGTATATGAATAATCATGGTATTGTTCACAATAACTAACAAGGTGGAAGCAGCTAAAGTAGCCATCAATGGATCAATGTATTAGAAAGAAAGTGGTGTATCCATATAATGGATATTTTCAGCACTAGGAAGGAATAAAATCTTGACACAAGCTAAATGTATCAAGCTGTCAAATGTATCAAGCTATGACATGAATGTACCCTGAAAACATTATGCTAACTGTAAGAAGCCAGGTACAAAGGATCATGTGTTATAAGATGCCTTTTACATGAAAGGTTCATATATGCAAATCTATTGACAGGAAGTAGATTCATTTAGGAAAGGAGCTGTGAGAAAGGGACAATAGGGAGCAATGGAGATGGAATTTCTTTTTGCAGAGATAACAATATTCCAAAATTAATGGTGACGGTTGTGCAACTGCTAAATCATACACATTGAAAGAGTGCGTTTCAGAGTATGTGAATTAAATCTCAAAAAGCAGTTATTTTAAAAAGTGCATGAATAAAAGGCATGATGTATTTTTATCTGAAATAGGAGATTTAGGGACTGGTTATCAAAGAGAACAGAACACATTAAGCTTTCAGCACATCAACCTACTCTTGCCACTAATTCTTGATTGGAGTATGTAGGTTATTGTAGTGTGTGACCTCCAATCTCTTGGGGGGGTCAAAGAGTTTTTTCCCTTTCCTTAAAGCTCAACATATGTTCAAGTATTTATAAAATGTATTAGAAGAAAAAGTTAAAACCCATAAATAGAATGAAACCTAGAAAAATCCCTTGCTGAAACACAGCAAGAAAGTTAACAGGCCCTGACCCACCTCCTTTTGGAATTTAAAGGGATTGATGTGGATGAAAACAGTGGGGCAGCTGCTAGAGACCATGTGGCCTGCTGCTGGCCTTCCATACCTGGGACATGGTCAAGTCTGCCATGGGCAGACGAGCCCCTCAACTTCCTCCCAAGGTGGTCTAATGAGTCCTTGGCCACAGCAAGAAGAAGGACCATGGCTTCAAGGTAAGCACTGATGGCCCATTGATACCACTTGGGGAGGAAGGTGGTGACAAGGTGGAGGAAGAGGACACCACTAAAGGTGAGGATGAAGACATGGCTGACATGATGGAAGAAGAAGTATAAGCAGCAGAAAGAGGCTGAGGAGGAGGACATGGAGATGCCTCCATCAGTACCAAGCTGGAGGCTCTGACATCCATCATCCACAGGCAAGAAAGCCACTCCTGGGACAGAGCACAAGTCCAAGAAAGCAAAGGGTACTGTGAAGATGTGGGCTTGGTCCCTATGCTTACATCCTGCTCTGCAGAACCAAGCTGAACCGCAGGAAGAAGGTGAAGCTACAAGGACAGTTCAAAGGTCTGATGAAAGCTGCCCAGGGGGTCCAAGTTGGACACAAACTCCACAGAAAGGATCCTGGTCCCTGAAACCCCAGGGCACCTAGGCTGCACTGTGGTCTCTCCTGAGGCTGCTTTTCACCTCTCAAGCTGCTGGACACTAGGTCCAAGTGCTTGGGATCCACACAGACTGCACTCACAATGACTTTTTGGAACCAGGCTTGGTTCCCAGAGATGCCCAGGATTTTAGAAGCTCTAAATGGAGACTGTTCTTTAGAGATATCCCTGACGCCTGGGGATGGGACTGTGACCTCACTGATTCTGAGTAGGCCAGAATGGCTTTCTGCCAGAGTGGCCAAGAAAAGAAGAGCAGTGATCTTTTCCTCTAGTTGCTCATAGCCACGTGGCACTCTCAGCCTGGCAGTGGTCTGGGCATTCTAGAAGTAGAGAAGCTAACTTTACTGAAGACCTGAGGTCTATTTAGGAATAGAGTCATCTCACTGGCCCTGGGTCCACACTGTCTTTTCTCTCTCTCCCTCCTCTCTTCCTGGAATAGCTAACAAATCCCTCCCTCTGTCCTCATGCATATGCTATTTTTCTCAAGGTGTGACTATTTGTCAGTCACCAACATGTAAAATAAATTGCACAGTCAATGAAAGAGGGAAAAAGGGAAATCAACATACAGAGAACACATGGATACCTCAAAAGCAAGTGGGGGAACAGCTATTTGACCTCCTGTTATGGAAATTGAACTATTTGACCTCCAGTTATGGAATGAGGATTCCTCCAGCAAGGAATCAACCACAAAGTAAGTCGCTTATTTACTAACTTAATTATCTCAAAAAGTAACTTTAAAATAGAAGCTTCCATTTTTAGATTGGGACAAGTCACATAAATTTATCTCAGAAATGCTGAATGACATTAATACATTTTCTCTTCTCACTGAGTCTATCTGCACAGCTGAGCTGCCGGCATTTCATGGTTAAGAACAGGGAACTGAGGAGACTTACCAGATGAATGGAATTTCACTTGTGAGACCAGTGCACAACCAAACTCAGAGCATCAACTGCTACAAAACCTATCTGAGAGTTTCACAGACATTATAGGCCACTTAACATTCAGCACCTTCAGACTTACTTGTGTTCCTGTGACTTTGATCCCCAGGGAGAGAAGCATCCATAGTCCAGGCTGGAATGTGTTGGTTGGGATGTACAGTAGGTACCATCGTGCTCTCATTATAAATTGTATTTATCAGAATAACATCAGGCACTTGAACTTCACCATCAGTAACCATAGGTTCACTTCCATTTGATTTAACATAGGTCTTTTTTAATGTTCCTGCAGGGGAGAAAATATGTTTTAAACCACTAATGGAAGTATTTATTCTAAAATAATCAAAGCCATGCAATTCACAATAGACTTTATGGAATCATCCCAGGAATCCATCAATAGATGAATGAATAAAGAAAATGTGTTGTATATACACAATGAAGTTCTACTCAGCCATAAAAAAAAGAATGGAATTGTGTTCTTTGCTGACAAGTGGATGGAAACCAGAGACCATCATGCTAAGTGAAATAAGCCAGACTCTCAATGTCAAAGGTTGAATGTCTTCTCTCAAAAACGGAAGGTAGAGAGAACAAAGAAAGTTTAAAGGGAAAAAAAAGCAATCTCACAAAGAGAGAAGGGAGAACAGAAAAGAAAAAAGGGGATCCTAGGGGAGGGAAGAGGGGAGGGAAAGTGGAAGTACCAGGAAATTAAATCGTCCACATTATGCCATGGGTACGTATGAATATATCACAATGAATTCCACCTTTATGTAGAATTCTAATGTATCAATTTAAACAAATAAAAAAAAAAGGAAGAACAGTAGAGTACATGAAGGAGATGGGGGGTTATGGGAGGGAAAGGGAAATGCAATGGAATAAATTATGTGATGTGCATATATTAACATATCATAATGAATCTCACTATTATGTTTAACTCTAATGCACTAATAAAAACATAATTAAAAAACAAAAATGCTAGAGCTACCTCCCCATGTATCCTTCTACCCAGGCAAACACAAAAAGCAAGACGGTCACTGTAGCTTCCTCCTGCCTTCATGAGGACCACGAGTAGAGGTTCTATTGCACCTCAAGTGACACTACCCATATGGAAACTGTGGTTTTATTGAGAACTCAGGTTTAGAGATAGAGTCTCCCATCTAGGCTAGCTGATGCCCAAAGAATTTAGGACAATTCTCCCTCATCTGGGATGCACCACAGATGAACCATAGTAACTCTCACAGTGCTTCCTTCCTGCTTTCTCAGCTTCTCAGGTCCACCCATGACTATATGCTACTGTGACCCAGGACACATACTCATCTATGTCCATACTGCACCTGCCACTAAAGGACACAACAAACCTGCTGGTTTTCAGCCTTATATTTTCTCATAGTTGGCACTAAATTTTAGGGAGCAAGCCTTAAAAGAAACGTGAAACGAATAGGGCTCAGATATTTACCAAGACTTATGTCAGAGAGACAAACAAACAAGAAACCTCTCATTACAACACAAAGTTAAAGGAGAAAGTAAATTATTCTCATCTTTGACCTGAAGCTATAAAATATAATTATATGAAATAAAAAATACTCATTAAACAAGGATTACTAACTGGTCACTTTCTCAAGGTATCCACCTATGAGTCAACAAAATAAAGACCCACAACTAAGATTATTGAGAATCACCTAGCTTTGTCTTTAGGCAGAAACGTTTCAAAACTATGAAAGAGCTCATGCATTTTTAATATATTTATTTTTTATTTTTAGTTATGCCTGACAATAGAATGTATTTTTGCAGAATATATATACACAAAATATAACTTACATATTTTTAACTCAGTCAAAATAGACAGCAGATTGTATTTCCATAATAAAGCACTGTAGCTGGGAATGTCAACGAAAAAAAATGAATGTGATATTGACCCATTCATATACACCCAAGGGAGAATTTTTCCCCCTAAAAACATTCACAGTCAATGCTTTAATTGGCTCTCACTTTTCTAAGTAGTCCCATGGACCATTAAAAGCAAAAGAAATATAAATAAAATATTTAATATCTGTCTATGGAAAAAATTTCTCTACATGTGCTTGACCCTTGGAAAACATTAAACTCCAAATCAAAATAGAAAAGCAGCTGTTTTCTAGCTAACTATGGTCAACAGTTTCATCTGCCAAAGGATTCTAAATAAAACGCTGGGCACAAAAGCTGAGTCCTGACCATCAGATGCAGGTGACACTCTTTAAACTCCATGATTGTGAGTAAAAAGCAAATGGAGAAGGTGAAATGAAGAAATCTCTTAATTGTTTTTGATTTTCAAATTTCTTAGAACTTATCTTAGATAAAAATTAATAGGTGTGATAGGCTTCGTTACTAAACAAAATAAATTTCATTCATTCAGAAAAATTTACTAATCAATTCCATATGATTCTATTTTCTTCCATTTTCCAATTTCTCTCTTCCTTGCTTATTTTAGCATAAAAATATTTCTCAAATAACGTGATATTTCTGCTAATGTGGCTCTCAAGAATATTTAAAGCCCATCAAAATGACTTCTGCTAAACATGAGTAGGCATCCAAGTCTGTCTCCTACTTTTAACAAATGCCAATTCCTCACGTTTATACCCCTGAGTAACTCTCTTAAGATGAATTCAACAGCTGTTCTTATAATAACTGGCCTTCTTAGTAATCTTGCCCTCATCTTTTTAGCCCAGCCACAGTGATGAAAGTGTTAATAACATTTGTTTACCTTAAGAAATCCTTTCAAACACTGACTTTTTTAGAAAACATTGGCTTGCATAACACCTTTTTTTAAAAAAGAAAAGGCAGTTTCCTTGCTCATAAATTTTATGTATCAAAGCTATTTGGCAGGATTGATGAAAGGATAATATATGACAGTTGCCATAACTAATGTTCTTAAAGTATATTTTGGGAGGGACATGTTTTCAACAGCCTGAACTCAAAAAAAATAAATAAAAGCATGAGTTCCCTGAGAAATTTGGGGGGGGGGATATTTGTTTTCTGGGAAAAAAAAATGACATTCATTTCTTTTGCATTTCATGTCAGGTATATTCATATCAGTGACCTAGATTCTTACAAGCTGCCCAGTTTCTTAAAATTGCCTTTTTGACATAAGTAACAGACTGAAACACCCTTTTACATATAGAGGTTCCCAGCTCCCAATAATATTTCTTGGGTTTGGGTGGGGATTGAGCTTTGGGTCTGGTCATCTATAGTTTCTATTTATTATTTCTCACCAAACTCTCCACTTCCCTCAAATCTTTCCACCTATGGCCATTCCTGCCTTTCTTTTTATGTAACCCAAAATGGAGTATATTCCCTTTTCAACTCCTCTGTTGAATGTGAGCCTTCTACTGAAGATTGGGGAGTTAATGGTTGGACAGTCAGTGTACAAGCCATAGTGCTGCAGCTGAGGAGCAGATAGTTTACAACTGCACACGGCTCTTTAAAAAAAAGTTGAGGTCATTTCTTTTGTGTGTGTGTTTTATTCACTTCTTTTTAAAAATTTTGATTTATTTTTTAATTAATTTTTATTTATATATGACAGCAGAATGCAATATAATTCTTATTACACATATAGAGCACAATTTTTCATATCTCTGGTTGTATACAAAGTATATTCACACCAATTCGTGTCTTCACTTTGGATAATGATGTCCATCACATCCCACCATTATTTCTAACCCCATGCCTCCTCCCTTCCCCTCCCACCCCTCTACCCTATCTAGAGTTCGGAAAAATTTGTTTTTAAGCATCTCTGGACACTGACCAACTCCTGACATCATCTATTATGCTTTTTTTTTTGTACCAGGAATTGAACTCAGGGGCACTTGATCACTGAGCCACATCCCCAGCCCTATTTTGTATTTTATTTAGAGACAGGGTCTTGCTGAGTTGCTTAGGACCTTTATACGTTGCTGAGGCTGGCTTTGAACTCCAGATCCTCCTCTCTCAACCTCCTAACCTAAATCACTAGAATTACAGGCATGCGCTACCACACCTGGCTTATGATTTTTTTAAACACAAAAACTAAAATTCAATAAGACTAAACACTATCAACCTGCACCCATGATAAGCTATGTGAAAATGGTGAGAGCTATTAGCCCAGAATAAAGTGTTCATTCTTCTAATGGGACCACATCCTTTTCTACATTCCTATTTTTATGGCACTGTGGTTAAGAGTACAAGTCCTGCTGCCTGATCACCTGGATTTAAATTCCATCTCTACCATTTACCAGCTCTGAAACTTTAGGTAAACTCTCAACTGCCATGAAATAAAGAAGATAAAAGTACTTCCCACCTGGGGCTAGCTACATCTATATATCTGTATCTATGTACAACTATAAAATATATGTGTATTCAAGACATTATATAAATACTTGATATGGATCTTGGCACATAGTAATTTCTTAATAACTGTTAGTCATTACTACATAATGATAGTAGTATTAGTAAAATTGTCTTCCTTAGGGCTGCTAACGTACTCTTAAATAAATAGTAATATCCTTTTATTGTAAGTGCATCCCTGTATCATAAAATAGCTAATTTTCAAAAGTGAATCACTTAATCCACTTTTAGAATAAGATAATCATGTCTCTTTTATGCCAAGTTATTAGTAGAAGGCCAATTATATCAAGATTGTATGGCTAAAGAGTGTTTCAGCTCTTTAACAAAAACAATTTAAAGTCTATAATTCTAATAATAGCTAACTATAGCAAACCCTTACAATGAATATTGGGCACTACAGTAGACAGAAATATGCTCCCCTGGAAATGTCCATGTTCTAATTCCCAAGACCTGTGAATATGTTATTTTTCACACTTTACATGCCAAAAGGAATACTGTAGGTGCAATTAAATTCAGGATATCGAGATGGGGAAATTATCCTGCATTACTGATCTAAGCCCAAAGTAACCACATGGGTCTTTATAAGCAGAAGATGGAGATGAGGGACTATGTGTCTGAACCATAAAGTATGAGATTTAATGGAACATGTTTTAAAGATGGAAAGTCACAAGGCAAGCAATGCAGGAAACTTCTAGAAGCTAGAACAAGCAAGGAAATGGATTGTCCTCTAGAACCTCCAAAAGATAACATTCATTTTCACCCAGTGAAACCCATTTTAGACTTTAATCTTCAAAACTATAAGATGATAAATCTGTCTTTTAAACTACCAAGTTTGTGGTAATTTGTTATAGCAGCAACAAGGAAACTTATACAGGCTGCTAAGCACCTTCTCTACAGGCATCAACTGAATTGACCTTCCAACTATCCTATG